GCTCCGGGATTTTTTCTCCTCTACTAGCAAGTTGTTTGAGAATGGCGCCCAACATATTGGCGACAGACTGATCCTCCTGGGCGAGGAAATCACAGTAGAGTCCCACAACTGCAATGTCTTCCCCCCCGGCCTTATCGCACAGGCTGTCAATCACTAGGGAGCTATTGTTTTCTGATGGTTAGTGAAATCTGCATTTCCTTTCTCCATACAGGCGGGATTCCTACCTGATATACGTTTTTCCCACCCCCGGATTCCCGTAGCAGAACAACACCGGCTCAACACAACCATCTTCCGTATCGCCCCATTTTCTGAACTCGTTGGTTTCCAGTACCCAGTTTCCCACGCTCTTGAGTCGCTCGCTTCGCACATCTTGGTGCCGTTGTTGTGGCTCAAGTGGTGACAGCCACTGTAGAATTTGGTGCCCTTCAGCACTCGATTCGGTGATAAAGTTGAGAGTATTGGTCTGGCTCTGGTTTGTCAACACGTTGAATGAGTTGATATTGCCGGTGATCTGCTGGTTCCCTGACAACATCTATGCTATAGTCCGTTATCCAAATTCCTATTTTGGGGAGAGGTAGAGAGGGATTATGGGCAATGAGAATCTAACTTCTCTCGAGGCTCGGAGAGCAAGGGAACTGGGGCGGTAACATAAGGTTTTGGTGTTGCACAAGTCTGCGCTGTTCCGACCACTTATCGGTGGGTGATGCCAAGGAACTCTCGATCTATTGTTTTGTCAGCAGTTCAGCCTTGTTGTGAAAAATGCTATTTACCTATCTTTTTACACCCCGCACTTGCGATCTATAGTACTTGTACTACAGAATAGTGTTTATTATTCACAATAACGGCACCCGTTCTGTAACACGCCACAGTAGCGTGCAAACACCACAGTGAATTCCCAGGTATTTTAATAAATCTAGCGTCCTACCTCTTTCTAGATAGTCTGAGGCGCAAGCCGCTTGAGTTTATACCGTTCGACTCGTGTTACCTGTACTCATACCCGAGTACCGGTAGACCACGAGCCGAAATTAGGACCTTTTTTTGCCATGCGATGAGTCCAATCCATCGTTGTCCTGACTGAGTGTCGAGACAAGTATCCTCGCTCCAAGTGCTTGAAGAGCCACCAGCAGCTGACTGGAGACCAAAAGGGAAATTAAAAAAACACGCCTGTATCTCTTTAGTATTGCCATAATAAGCAAGAATCACCATCATGGACTACGCTGTAAGGCATCATTCATCGTACAGAGCCGCTCATAATAGCATGATACTCCGAAAGTCCACTTTTCAATGCTAGGCATCCAAGAGTAAGGGAAGGGTTTAGCATGCTTAGTCAAGGTCTAGCAGAAAAGTTAACCGACCTCGTGGCTCCCTCCCGAACCCAAACTCAAGCGCGGACCAACCTGGTTAGAAATTCATCCCCGATACCTACCATATTCTCTGGATCCAACTTTGTATCCAAATGTTATAGGGGATATCGACGCTATTGTGTGCTTACAGACAAAACCGGGAGGTTTTCTACTCACCCACCCGCATCTTCCGGAGCCTAAGATCGAGGGAGTCTACTCAAAATCTGCAGGAGAAAAAAAAAGAGGAAGACGAAGTACCCCCTATCCAAGTAGTATCCCCTGGGCGGTGTACTAGGGGAGAGAACAGCCAATCTGCGACCACGTACGCTAATCCTGTGTTGGCGGAATCCGGGACTATCATTCGTGGGCAATAAATGACTTAAAGCTTATATTTCGGGCTTTGGTTAAAGAGCTAAACCCACAAATTAGGAAATTCCCTCCCGTTACCATCCGTATAGGCAAATACTCGAACCTCACGTAGAATAAGAAACACGCCGTTCTATCCCAAATCGAAGTACTATATATCATACACGCGCAGGGGGAACAGATCACCGGGCACGACTGTACCCTAACACCGTTACGTTCCGTATCTGGAGCTCCGCCGGATTCCACGGGTATACCGGTATCATACGACACGCCTTTTGCTGTAGTTCTCGCGCTACGCTGTACGGTATGCTAGGGGTATTCAATGTTAAATAAGTGGCAAATTCTTAGTCTTTATCTGGAGATAACAGTATCTAACTCTGCAGAATAGGGTCTGAGTGAGTATCATACTGTGATACAGGGTCCCAATTTTCCGAGAGTTTCTGATCAAATTCTCTTATCAATATGCGGCGCCCTGTAGAAGTTTTCAGCACAATCACTCGTTATCATCATAGTGATGCAAATCTCTTTCTCTTCTCATGTATTATACTCGCACAAGTACACCAGTTCTGGTGGTTAATTCAATCCACTCACTGTGGGGCTCTCAAATATGTTACTCAAAACTAGTTAATACTATCGGCTGATTGCGCAGCGTACCCTAATGCACGAATACCCTTGTCAATTGGGTATCGTGTGTAAGACAAGCACTACAAGTTGGGTAGCTATTGAAAAGTTCAGAAAGCACTTGCAATTGCGATCGAAAAATGTAAACACTGAGGATTACGTCTGCATTCTAGGATATACTCGGACCGTGTGCGACATGTGGGGGTGCGAGGTGCTAACTTGCTGACTTTGGACAGGCCTCCAACATTAGTGTTCGTTACGGGGCGGAGCGGGGCGGGTTTCCGCAAGTTCTCTCCGCCCCGTCATGGCCACCGGGTGCCGCCAAACTCCCCCCTTCCCGCCCCGCCCCCCGCACGGGGGTTACCGGGCGACCCCAATTCTGCTCCAAGCCATATAATTTGGTGGGAGAAGTAGCGGGGCCCCGTACAAGGGGTGGCCAGGGCGGGGGACTGTATCGGGCCGGGGGGGGGGATGGAAGAGTTAATAGGCCCCGCCCCGGGCCAAACACCGGGGCGGGGAACGGGGGCAGGGACTGGCAGTTTTCGGGGCCTCGGAGGCTCCGTAACGAACTCTATCCAACATACCAAACCCATGGTACCACTTAGATCTACGATGAAGACAGGTATGTTTGTTTAGTCCATTTAGTGTTTAATAGGACTCTGCTTCTGACAAACCGGTTACCAAGAGCACATTATTAATAGCGAGTGAATCCAAAAATTGTCCAAATTGGACAAGAACTAACTGAGAGAGAGGCCTTTGAAGTTCAGTAAGTTCAGGTCACTCTATCTGCTTTAGTTTTGGTCTAATTTGGATGATTTTTTCACTCAGTTAATGAGAATAACCTAGGATATTTTGTTCCTCCTCCTTAGAAACAGGGTCCAATAATGAAGCCTAAGTCCATTCTATGATTATCGCTAATAGAGTAGCATATATGTGGACCAAGGCCCTAGTTGCTACTCATGTTAGGCAATTTATTGGGGGAACTTTTACAGTAATAGGTGTACTGTATGAAATTAGAGGGTCAGAATGGGCAAACTGATGCTAGTGAAAGGGAACTCTGGGAGGTGAAGTAAGAAGTCCAGGAGGTGAAGCAAGAAGTCCAGGAGGTGAAGCAAATAGTTCAGGAGATGAAGTAAAAAGTTAAGAAGAATAGGAAAATGATCAAGACAACTGCTTACCACATATTAACTACTTTGTTTGGTAATAAAAAGCCAATACTAGAGTTTCTTCAAGGTATTCAGAAATGTCAAGAATCTGGTCAAGCAGAGTCTAGTTCCAAGACTTAAGTCATTTTAGCTATACATAGTAGTTATAACCAATTGTAATGATCACTCTTTGTGGTAATAAGGTAGTAATCTTGTTGATATCCACATCCCGCATCCTCCAAATATGATATTATAATAACTAATTCTCCCCCCCCACTACCTATAACACCCCATCACTCGCCTCCCAATAATATTTGAGCGGTATTTCTAACACCACGTGCGGAATGATACAGCAAGCTCATCGGACGCCGTTAGTCGCCCTAGGAATACCCATCAGAAGTATACACACATATAGGGTGGCGAAGCGAAGTATCATGCATACCGGTAGTTGAATAAGCGATAGGCGGATTACAAAGGGCCGATAAGGGAAAAAAAACAGGACCTACAACGGTGCACTCGCCGAGAAAACGGTTATCATACCGTACAGTACAGTACAGTACTCGTACACAGCATCCAAGATATTGGTGAAAAAAAATGCCGTTTTGGAGTGAGAATCTTTGAGATTTCATCCCTAAACACCAACCCACCTCCTTAAAAACACTCAAGGGGGTGGATAGTCACAAAGGATCATGATTGTTTTTTTTTTTTTTTTCCTTTAAGGAATTGAAGCAGAAAAACCAACTGTCCCCGCTATTCCCGATTATCATTATTGTCATGCTCATTGTTTTGCATTTCCTGCCTAATCGACAAGGCACGCATGACGCTATTAGTGCTACCGGTATGATACTTGTAGTATCATTGTGGGAACATACGCCGAGTGCTATATCATCCCATACGGCTACCAAGAGTCTATTGTTAAATTCACATTCGCTGCTCTTGGCATCTACGTGGATCATAATGTATGCTACAATCCCAGCCAAACTCTCGTTTTAAATAGGCAAAGACTCCGTTTTAGGCTAGGAAAATACACTCGAAAATTCAATAATAGAGAATTTTGCAGTAAAAAAAAAAAAAAAGAAGAAAAAAATCTAACTTCACTTTGACCCATCCCCCAGTTTAACCAAATGGTTTTTATGTAGGATTTGGTAAAGTCCATAATATTATGCCAGTGGGAGGGAGGTTGTTAGTGCTGGGCGGGGCTGTGCCGTGGCACCGCACAAGTCTAAGTTCGTGCAACACAGTTTGATGCAGTATCGTACGGTAGTAGAACTCCACCCCCGCAATTGATGGTCACATATTCTAGAAGGCTATCTCGATTCCCAGACGTAGTGCTCCAAGCGATGCGTTCGCACTCAATAACTTCCACGATGCATGCCCCCATTTAATTTATGATAGGAAACCGGTACTTTTTGCAACTCCAAATAAGATAACCAAACGCCAACTCCATAAGCCCATCATGGAACGTCGAATCCAATCCCGAAAAGCAAAGGAAATAGACAAAAGAGAGGGGAAATAAAAAAAAACACTACTCCCTCCTGTTCATCGCCTCCTTGTAATCCTTAATCAGGTTCATCCTCTCGATCCCAACATGCTCCTTCCCATCCGACCCCCTAAACTTCCCATAGCCATACGTCCACCCCAATCTCATCAGGTGCCTTCTGCGCATTGCAGAACTCATGCCCGCCGTTCCGGCAACGTCGGACATAGCACTACTGGCGTGGAAGAAACCAATCTCGGAGGCGAGGGTATCCGGGAACCGAGGCAGGATGCGTCTAGGCCTCGAAGAAAAGATTATAATTCCGGAAATAAGTTGGAATCCCAGTATGAACACGGCGGCGTAGAACATCACCGGGTCCATGGAAATCCGCGGCTTCAGGGACTGGAGTCCGAGTTCGGCCCTGGGCGTTCCGACCGCGGGTGCGAATATCTGATCCCGGTTCTGGGAGAACAGGATTGTGATGAAGCGTTTGTAGAACTTCGACAACGCGCGCTGCGCATCCTCGAAATCCGGCGATGGGGTTGTGGGGTCGGAGAGCGTCTTACCAATCAGAGACTCGCCGATGAACTGCGAGAAACTATGGGATGAGTTGTCGTTGTGCATGATGCCAAAGTCTTTTGCTTTTCTGGGGGGCGCGCGGAAGAGCGTTGCTAGCTGCGCTGTAAAGTTCCCGACTGTGGTGGAGAGGTTGAAGATCCCTGGGTCATTGTATCTGAGCTCTCCGACGAGTTTGGATCTTTTCACACGGCCTTCGCCGTCAACTGTCACAGAAAACTCGCCTGTGGAGATTTTCTGGCTACAGATTATTGTTGTGTTGGATCGTATAGTTGCGGAGACACCTGCAGGGATGCGCCCGTCCTGTCCCTCCAGTGAACGATTTGCCTCGCCGCGGCCCCAGCCGGCGAGTATTAGACTGCTGCAGGCTTCCACAGCTTTTTCGCCACTTTCACCGGGGGCTTCGAGGCCCCAGACCCACTCCACTGCGAAGGGGTGAGTTCCCGGCTTCAGCAGCTGGGTATCTATTGTTTTATTGTTGCCGCAATGCACGGAGCTATTTTCTGATAGTGGCATCGTGAGATTGATTCCTATCGTAGGCGCACCACTTTTTCCTCCGTCCATCCCACTAACTTGTTGAAAAGTGTCGCCCGCCAGTAACTGGCATGTCAAATTCCCGCCATATCCTTTGGTTGCCGAAGTCCTCAAGTCGGATTTATTTCCTGGATTGTCCCACCTGAATGGGAGAAAGTAGAATTCCTCTGTGACCCATGCCGGCAATTCTGTGCCTTCAATGACGTTGGTGTTAACAACTAGCCAATGTTCAGTGGTATCCTGCGCGAATGTCCCTGACACAGCTCTCTGCCTTTGCTTCTCCATCTGGATCTCTGTATTGATGCTAGTCATGAACGGGTGCTCGACAATTAAGTCGGAGGTTATTGGTTTGAAACTCCGATTAAAGATACCACCAAGCACCACAGCGAGGAAGTTAGCTACGATGACCATCATAGACGCTAGGGAGAGATTAATATGGCCACGACGGAGTGCACGTGGGGCGATGAGTACAGGGGGGGTGTTTGTGTATTTAAGACCCAGAGAGGAACCCGGGGGTGCATTCCCTCTCTGAAGCTCGGTGTATGGCTGATAGAGCGCGAGGTACCGTCCAACCAACACCCAGAACGGCTCCAGAAGCGTGGCAATGACCGTTGGAATGAAAGAGAAGATGACCTGAGTCATGAGTTGTGTGTCAGAGAGCACTGGTAGGCCTAATCAGCATGTTAGCAAATCCGAGTGATCTTGGACCAGTTTAGTCGAGTCTCACCATTCCACCGTGAAGCGGACCTATAGAGGGCAATGAGCAACACCAGCAAAGCAGCGTTCACAACAGTCACCGCAAGCCCCGTCCAGATGCTCAATCCAACTGGGCCGACCAATTTGCCATCGTGGGGAGTAGTGCAAGAAGAGTGCGGGGATTTGACCGGGGGATTATCACTCCGGCCCACAACATCCAACCGGTATCCACCCTCGTCTCGCCTAGTTGCAAGTTCATATCTCCTCTGCTCCAGGCACAAATGAGGAGCTGGGCACTCATCTGCGCCGTCGAAATCTCTCAGCAGCGTCTCACTGCGCGCAACCAATGCCATCTTGGCTCCCAGGGCATCCGGGTCACTAGCCAAATTATTCTGTCTACTATAAGAGATGAGCAACACCCCACCGAGGCAGACAACAGCTGCTCCCAGAAAACCAGCCAGAATGTGAGCAATTACGGGGACAACAACAATCCCTAGACTCCGAACAAGCCTATTTCCCACAACTTCCTCTCCACTAGGATCGGGCACAAGCAATGTTTCCAGGGCGCTGTTGAAAAGCAACTTGTGCATCCTTTCTAGCCCAGTCCTGAAAACCTCGGGGTCTTAAAATCATCAAATTCCTTCCCCGGAGATAATCCTATGACGTACGAAATTTGCCCGGTCGGGTTATCAAGGTCCCATCTCTCAAACCTCAACACAGAATCCGGAGATTCGGGTGCGAAATGCTTCGCATTTACTCCGGAGGCTGTAGCAGCTGCGCCCACATTCCCCTCAAATACTATGATGTCGATAATTTTGTCGTCCTGGGTGAAACTCGTTCGCTCCCCATAAGGAACAGCATTCAGGATAGAACCGTCGGCCCCCTCCACTGTGACTTCATTGGTCTGATAGTGGTAGTTCGGCTTACAGTAGAGAGCATTTAGATCGAGTTCATCGCTTCTGTTATTAGCGTTGTGTGATTTGGCCCAGATCGCGAGGAACAAGTTCGGGTCCTTGCACGTTAATTTAGGCAGGTAGTAATGCCCAGTACCATCGTCGTTGGCAAACCCAATGTACATCATGTTCCGGGTTCCGTTGGGGTTATAGAGAGGGTCGATGGTGTATGTACATTTGTCCGTGTTAAAGCTATACATATTTCCCTTGAGAGCCTCTATCTCGGCAGGAGTGCATGTGAGCTCAGTCTGGTATACCTTTGTCTGGGCAGTCCAGGATTCACTGCCTCGTGTTAAATAATCCTGACTTTCGCTGTAGTTTTCCGGCTTGAACGGAACGGCGATGAGCTCCTTTGTCATGAATGCATGAACCTTCTCCCCAAGCCAGGTTACACCATAGCTAGTGTACAGGAAAGAGGCGCTCATAGCTGCTCTTTGGTCATCGAAGGGGGTGAGCTTTTGACAAGTCTTGAATACCGTCTCTATATCCCGTGTCACGGGCTGGGTAGTCAAGAGAGAACTGTTAAGCGGCGTAACGACCCAGAAGATCAAGCACAAAGCCAACCCGGCGCAAAAGACGTTCCAGTGCCTACACGTCGTCAATTATGCATATCTCCAATAGAGTGGATGTGCATCGGGGGCGCACCCCTTTCTAGCAGCATTCACCGGCACAAAGGCAATGAAGTCATAAGGATAGTGAAGAAATATCGAGTCTCCGGCAGTTGCTCCCCCGGGCTTTGATAATTGAAAGTACGGTTCCAGTCGCTTCACGTCTAGATCCACCGCAGCCCAGCCCACCCCCAATGCGACAACTATCATCTGGGGCAGGTACCGATAGCAAAATACCACACCGGTTGAAAAGTCCTCGACTCTTTCCGCAAAGACCAATGCCTTCTCTTCGAGACTGACTTTGTTGATATATTCCACAAGTGCGATCAGAGCAATCGTAATGAGGAGGAAAGCCATGATAGCAGGCGGTTGTAAGGTGAAAGGTCTCCATGGTTTATTCCGACCTCGGCCGTTTAAGTCTGTCGAAAGGTGGGCCTTAGGTTTGAGCGAAGCTAGAAACGCGTTAGTAAGTGTGTAAAAGGTAGTTGGTTTGTCCTCACTTTGGGATTGAGAAGTGTCTACTGAAGTATATGGATGGTTGAGTTGGTTCAGTTGGGTGTTACTGCTGGAAGACATCTCGTAGTCTCTACCACTGTAATTGTAGGCCATACCGACCGGTATCAACGGTGTTCACACAACTATAAGAGAGAAATTCGTGACCAGAGCCAGGAGTAGTTTCCCCGGTAATCCCTCCTCGTAGGCAATCTCGAACCTTAGATACAGTAAGCTTCTAGAAGTTGTCTTCCAGCGGGAAGGGCCACTTTTAAAGATGTAATCCGTTCAGCTGGCGGCCCTATCTATACTAGCCCAAAACTCGTGGGGTATTAGAGTTGCGGGCAAAATTTGCACCTGCGGGAGGTGATTGTTTCGAGTGTATTTTTGGAATATCTGTTGCTGGGCTTGGGGAACTTTCTCCTGCATGATAATATGAAACCGCTTATCCGGTACTGTACTCCTAGAGCGTCCAGCCCCCAATTTTATGAAGAAACTCCCAATGCACGTCGACGGCGGCTGGTTTTTGCTCTCTTAGGCGCTTGTTATATAAATTTACAGTATCGCACCCGTAACGGGCGCTGGGGCAACACCTCTGACCAAAAAGGACCAACTGCAGGCTCCTGAAACTGTTGAATTTTCATTGGAATGTTGCAACACCGCATCGTCCCGGCTCACGACTACACAAGCACCGGCGCTCGCACTTGCGCTACGATGAAACTTCCATTTCACAAGTTGTCCGAGACGCCTGCCGATAATTGCTTCCCCGACTAGGAGTATAGTATATACTTGTATCACTTTCGAGTGAGCGAGTAGGAACGACGTTGATACTGGTAAGTTATGTAGACCAAATTTCAGCATCGGGTACAGGGCGTACGATACCGGTATCATACGGTAGACCATCGCTCAGGCAATCGGGCTTGTGACGCAGCATAATATGGTAAGGAATTCTCTGCAGGGAGATGCACAATGCCCAAATCGGCTCAAGCAGTGCCTTATAATGTGCAAGCGCTTATTACGGTAAGCGCATACGGTATATGGAGGACTGCCGCACAGCACAGTACCCTGCTCGTACAGTGCCTGGGCAAAAGTCTTGGTGATTGGGACACTTCACACCAAAAATGGGTGGAAACCCACTTTTGAATAGTTCTGGAGTTCACCTGAAACTGGACCTCTATTTTCCCAAATTCCTGATCTAAAGCTAGGCCATTAGTATCTTCTCTCATAATTAATTTGAAGCATTCCCATCACCAATTAAAGGCTCTACAAGCTTGTAAAGTTCTCCCATTACTTAAAAGGCACTATTGTCACCAGTTTCCTATGAGAGTTGCCCCAGCAACCTCTCACAAGAATGTTGCAACAATTAAGGAGCTCTAACTCAGAAGACAAGCATCTAACCACTTTCTAAACAGTTGGAGGATAATCTTCACATGCATATAGAACAAGTTGGATGGTCTTTGTAAGGCTTTTTGCTCAGATTCAGTGCTGTAGCCTCTTTGGAAACACTTCAAAATGACCAATTTTGGTGTAAATGTGCCGGATCACCAAGACTTTTGCCCAGGCACTGTACTCCGGCACCTTGGACGTACCGTACTGTATGTAGCGTTGTTGGCACTAAGTCACGGAAAGTTGTGCCAGGGCACAACGCCTCAGATCGATGTGCCCGGCACGGCACTATGTAGTGCCCAGGCAATCCACATACAAATTAAATGATTCTTCTAAGAGGAAAGACATGAGAAACTATCTACAAGTCCAATTCACACCGAATATCACCCATTTCACATCCCTGTGGGTCCTTGCCCCGCTGAAGTGCCAGAATATCGGCCATTTTTTTGACCATTATATTGTGCCACGAGCAGGTTGTGCCATCAGCTAATCTCACTACACTCTGGCATTTCGTAGTGCCAACAACGCTAACTGTATGATACAAGTGCTCTGGTACAGCACCGTATCTACCGTAAATTAATTTAAAGATTGAACAGCTGGCTAGGATGTCCAAAAACCCCTCTCTTGGATACGGGGGGGCCAAAACACCAGGGAACCTGACCCCAGCTTACAACCAGGAAAAAGTAAATAAGTGCTGAACCGTACCGGCAAAAGCAACTCCAACGTCCTCGCGGGAGGCTCAATCATTCCAGTAAATACGATAGGCGCGGATGCAGGTCACATTCCACCGCCACGGCCCGACCCGGTGCCGCATTGGAAACCACAAAGGTGGAGTCATATATACTCCAATGGTTCAGCCCCACGAGGCGCGCGCATGCAGGGCTCAAGAAAGCTGCAGTATGATACAAGTACCGGTACCGTACCATACAGCCGTGTCGGTAAAGTTTTCCCGCCCCAGCGTGTCAAACCGGGGACTCACATCAGACTAAATGACAACAAGAGAAATTGAAAAAATAAATCCAGTTAAAGAAAATAGGAAAGCACAGATTTCTGTGAAATTTTACCCAAAAACCGATTCTACGGACTGATAAATTTAACGCCATTACATTCAGAATATAGAGTACTAGGTCAGTTCGTTCGGTACGATGCCATTTTTACACCAAAAACATGCATTTTTACCACCCCCTTAGGCACCATCAATGTCTATAAAAATCTACCAAAATCTCATACTACATTATTAAAACCCAGGATAACATATAAAACTTTGCAGAACTCTCAAAACCTATAAAATTGTGAAGATAACATGAGGCAAGTGCATGGTATGTGGTTGCCATGTAACTTTTACTATGGAACCCCATACAAAATATTAAGGCCCCGTTCGGTTGCAACGAGAAAATATAGATTTGAGAGAGAATCTATAGATTCAACGTCAATCTATGGTTTGTGTATGAAATGAGTGTTTGGTTAAGTGAGGAAAACTATGGAAATTTCTAATTCTCAAAATGACCTCAGAGTTGTTTTTCAGAAAGTATTGCGTAAAAAATAGGCTGAATAACAACCAAGCCACAATACTAGTAATTAGTCATGGTTACCCTTCCATGTAGGTAGAATAAAAAAACCCATCAGACCATGCAGATTAAAATCACAGCCAGGAAAATCAGCAAGCGAGCGATATGGAAGAATCACATTCTTCAGCGATCGGTACACACAATCTACTCGATGCCAGTGGACTATTGGCAATTGCACTCCTGATCGGCTAACATTATCATGTCCGAGCTCAAAGTATCCCTTATCATACCTCTGGGCTGAGTGGTTCAGTGTACATATCCGAGAGTCTTACTTCAAATAACCCTAATCGAATACGAGATATTTTGCGCATGCCTCTTGCAACCTTTATCAAGCTTCGAAAATGGTGTCTTAGCCATATGGTGCTAGCCAATACACAGACAGTTACAGTAGATGAACAGTTGGCTATTTTTTTATGTATTGTTAGTGGAAATTGGTCTAATAGGGCCACAGCTGAGCGCTTTCAGCATAGCGGGGATACAATATCAAGGAAAGTAGATCTGTATTAATATTAATTTGAGTTAACTAATATATAAGTTATAGATATTTTCATAAGGTTCTTCAAGCCTTACTCTACCTTTACAAAGACTATGTTACTCTTCTGAGCACAGAGATACCATATCACATTCAGTCAAATACAAAGTTCTATCCATTTTTTAAAGACTGTCTTGGAGCATTGGATTGTACTAATATTCTAGCCAAGGTGCCAGAATCAGAGACAATTCCATATCGCAATCGGAAGTGTCAAATTACCCAGAATGTCCTTGCAGTATGTACTTTCAATTTAGAGTTTGTATATATCTTACCAGGATGGGAGGGCTCAGTGCATGATGCCCGCGTTTTACAATTTGCACTTGATAATGATTTTTCCATACCCTTTGGGAAATATTATCTTGATGACGCAGGGTATGCTGCACGAGATGGTTTGCTTACACCATATCGAGGGGTTAGATACTACTTGCATGAGCAATACAGTAGTGGTTTGAGGTATCTATTTAATTGTTTCCTATCCACATACTACAAGACCTTGAATAATTGAAGCTTATACTAAGAAATCTGAAACCCAAGACCAGAAACAAAAGAAGAATTATTCAATCTCCGTCATTCTCAGCTACTGAATTATATCGAGCGAATATTTGGAATATTCAAAAAGGGCTTCCCTATCCTCAACCCTGTTCCTGAATATTCATTCAAAACACAGACTACTCTTATTCTTGCGCTTTCTGCCCCTCAGAATTTTATTCACAAAGAGAGTCCTGAGATGGAAGATCTTTTCTGGCACAATACCGAGCAAGAAAATCCCTCAGAATCTTCTACAAATTACTCGAGTTCAGATTATCACACTATGAATGGTGGCCATCCTGATTCAAGGGAGATATTATTGCTGAGCGACTGAATGGCCGATGCCATGTGGAGTCAATATCAAACTACAATGAATAGTTCTCGGTAGAGTATTTCACAGCTAATAATATTAATTCTTTATTATAAAAGTGTTAAGAATCCTACCGAGTAGGACCTAGCAACAGGTAATGATACTTCTCTGTAAGATGATAACTCTCAGGCCTGTACCTACGCGATCCCGATAGTCCAGTCCTTTGACTACTATCGTGTTCGCGCCTATCTTCTTATTCTTCTCATTAGTCCTTGCTTAGGACTTTAATCTCTTCTCGTGAGAGGAAAGACACTTCTCGGGTTTCTTAAGATAAATCTTAAAGAGCGTAAAGGTAGGTTTTATTGATAATAACTTAAGGATAGGAAATAAACAAGAAGAACGTGTGAAGAGCTCATACTCAGGGTCCTAGTTACCCTTTATATTGTCGCTCTACACCTGGCGTGACTCACACCTCGCGTCACGCGAACCCTGTGACTCATCACCGTGAGTCATATGAAATCCATCAGACGATGCCTATGAGTCGCTGCGCAACATGCCTAAACCAATCAAAACATAATAACCAAATCAGGTGCGCAACTCGCTTCACCTGAGTGAAACCCATGACTCATAAGTATGAGTCATGTGTGAAAATCATAACATCGTGTGACTCACAACTGTGAGTTATGAACAGGTAAACATGATAACCTATGGTGCACTAGTGTGCGTCATGTGAAATCCCAACATACCTATAACTCGGAAATTCGAGCTATGTGAAATCTGCCTTGCTTAGTCA